TCACAGCTTCTTAGGAAGAAAAGTACAGGTTAATGATTGGCATCTGAACATTCTAAACAACTATAATATGCATATATCCATTGGGGTTCCATTTGCGGCCGATGAAGGGCAGCCACCCCAGCTGAGCTGACTGCCCTCAGTATGTCGGATCTCTGCTTCCTCCGGTCTCTTAGAGCGCCGTGTCTCACGAAGCAGAGTGGGAGGGGCCAGGTCCGCCCGCCATTGAGTGGCGTCTGGCGGCCCACGCTGCATTGGAGAGCGGTGCGAGGCCTCTTCTCAGCCTGGCCAGAAGCCCCATCAAACAGGCGATGAAAAGCCGATTTAGGGGTCGACTTGCGCCCCTTCCGTTTACTCTTCTTGGACATGATGGGAGTTGACGTAGAAGCGGTGCAGAATCCCGATAACTCATGGGCTGTACCCAGAGCCAAAAGGAGTCCGCTACCTCACACGGCCATTGCCAAGCCACGCCCCGATTTTGTCACTTTCTATATGGATATTTATGAGAATTTTTATACTATTACCCAGATAGCAAGGATAACTTGCCACAAACTTGTGTCAGGGTAATATTGTAATTCTTGTTAACTTGCTGCACAAATTCCTGGCAAGCTGTAGACTTGCAGAACACTTGCAGCACAAGTTCTAGTTGACACTTTTTGAATTTGTAGCAAATTTAGTCTACAGCTTGCCAGGAATGCGATCGGACGCGTGGCAAAACTTTGCCCGCGTTCCACTGCAAACGCAAAAAATAGGGCTGGCTCTATTTTTTGCGTTTGCGGTGGAACGGAACGCAGGCAAAGCGTTGAAAGAGCCACGCGTCCGATCCCCCCGCGTGTGGGGGCGTGGAGGTGGTGCCATTGAATTCAATGCACCGCCACACCCCCTCCCGCCCCAGAACGAAGGGGGAGGATCGCGGTGCGTTCCAGCAGCTACCGCTCTGGAACGCACCGCTTTCGGTGTGAACAAGCCCTAAATACTTTCATAAATTGATAAAAATAGGAGCAATGCAATAAAACCAAGATGAAATGCTTGACATTATTAGACAAAGTTCAAAATAGCAATAAAAAAACCACAGAAAGAAAAGACAAAACACTTTGTCACAAACTCTCAAAAGAGAAAACAAAACGAAAAACATACCTTCCTAGGCTAAAGCATGCTTCATATAACACATTGACACAAGGTCTGAATTTAGAGTCTCAGTGCAGCTAAGGCCTATAACCAGGGCTTGAAAAATTTGATGGTGTCTCACCAGTCAGTCACAAATGTCACCAGTCAGCATGACCGGACTATAGCCTTGCAATTTATGTTAACATTTTTTGGGGAGAAAGATAGAGCTTTCTTTTGGAGGTATATAATCACCACTGGGGGGTGTTATTTTTTTTTTACTATATAATAAAAAAAGTACCATAAATGTAAAAAACTAAAAAAAAGTTTTCCTATGTTATGTTATAAAACATTTATTCTTACCCATATTTTTAGTAAAACATAAAAGTCGGGGTCACGTCGGGTAAATAGACACCAAACATGTCAAGCCTTAAAATTGCGTGCGCCCGAAAAATCGCAAAAAACGCCCATAGGCGACGATTAAAACGCTTTTACTGCTCATCAGTTTAGTGTTATCAGTGATTAATGGCTCTAAAATTATTGCTCTCACTCCGACGTGAGTGGCCATATGTAACATGTGCGGTGCAATCATCGTTTTCGCGCATAGGCGCAACCGACTCATATCTGCGTGTGTATGTGGGGGGCAGGGACTTCAAAATAAATTAAAACATTTTTTTTTAATGCTTCTTTATTTTTTTTTATGATTCTTTCATTTTTGTATTACTTTTTTTTTTTTTTACACACAACTTTATTGCTATTACATGGGGGACTAAGAAGCTCCATATGTGATAGCCAATTTACATGACAGGTCCTCTTTATGCGAGCCCACATTGACATTGTCTAATGAAATCGGCTTCTAAAGAAATCGGCAGGCGGGCGGGCGAGCAGGAGGAGAAGGGGGACAGAGCGGCAGGGGGTGGAGACAGAGGGAGATGGGGGCGGAGATGAAAGAGGACGTGAGGAGACGGGGACGGAGCGGCATGAGACAGAGGGCGGAGACAGTGGGAGATGGAAGAGGCCTGTGAAGACAGGAGGCAAAGGCAGAGACCGCGATGGAGGAGGCGTCACCAAGGGGCCAGTCGAGCGGCGAGGCTGAGACGATTGGGCGCCGAGGCAGCCGTGAAGGCTGGGCTTCCCGTGTAAGGTAGGAGCACTGTGCTGGCAGGGCCCAGCATAGCTTATGCACCGCCCACCAAAGAGTCACAGGTGGGCTGTGCAATACCTTTTGGTGGGCTTTGCAGGATCCATGGGGGGCTCTGCAGCCTGCAAAGCCCACCACAGATCCTGCACAGCGCCCCTGAGATCCGGCAGACTGCAGGGTCTCAGGGGATCTCTGCAGGATCTGTGGGGGGCTTTGCAGCCTGCAACCCCCCCACAGATCCTGCAGAGATCCCCTGAGACCCTGCAGTCTGCCGGATCTCAGGGGCGCTGTGCAGGATCTGTGGGGGGCTTTGCAGCCTGCAACCCCCCCACAGATCCTGCAGAGATCCCCTGAGACCCTGCAGTCTGCCGGATCTCAGGGGCGCTGTGCAGGATCTGTGGGGGGCTTTGCAGCCTGCAACCCCCCCACAGATCCTGCAGAGATCCCCTGAGACCCTGCAGTCTGCCGGATCTCAGGGGCGCTGTGCAGGATCTGTGGGGGGCTTTGCAGCCTGCAACCCCCCCACAGATCCTGCAGAGATCCCCTGAGACCCTGCAGTCTGCCGGATCTCAGGGGCGCTGTGCAGGATCTGTGGGGGGCTTTGCAGCCTGCAACCCCCCCACAGATCCTGCAGAGATCCCCTGAGACCCTGCAGTCTGCCGGATCTCAGGGGCGCTGTGCAGGATCTGTGGGGGGCTTTGCAGCCTGCAACCCCCCCACAGATCCTGCACAGCCCCCTGAGACCCTGCAGACTGTAGGGCCTCCAGGGGGCTGTGCAGGATCTTTCGGGGGCTTTGCAGGGTCTCGGGCCTGTGCAGGATCTGTGTTGGGCTCAGCCAACCATAGACCCCGCAGAGCTCACCACAAATCCTGCTAAGCCCCCCTGAGACCACAGCTTTCCTGCTATGCTAATAGCGGAACATGTCAATAGCTGGATACAGTGTTTGCACTGCATGCAGCGAATGACAGGTCACGCAAAAAGACAGGAAGGGGTGGGGTAAATTTAGTTGGGGGGGGGCGCCCGAGTTTTGCCTTGCCTAGGGCAGCCTCAAACCAGAATACACCACTGCATTCAGGGACCACCAATTGAAATAGATCTGACTGACCCGGATCGCCTTGGTATGCGATCCGGGCTAGTCACAATTAGGCAGCGGCAGCCAATAAACAGGTAGGTTAGACGGCTGCTTCCTCCTCGCTAGGACCCCGGGAGGCCCCCGCAAGCGGCCGTCTAATCTGCCTGTTTAGAGGTCACCGCCGCTGCCTGATTGTGACCGGCCCGACTACAGAGGCGATCCGGGACGTTCGGGTCCCCCGTGAGAGCCGTACAAGGCCGTAAGGCAGTGATGTTGAACGTTTCTTAAACCCGAGCGCCCAAACTGCAAAACTAAACTTATTTTCAGCGCTGGCACTTTGAGATAAATACATTGATTTTGCGTCGCAGTTTGGGCACTCGGGTTCAAAAATGTTCGCCATCACTGCTGTAGACTGACAGTAGAAGGCATCTGGTAGGTGATGCTGAGAGACTAGTTGCCCGTCAGGCCTGCCTCCCCTTAGACGGACAGTAGGCAGAGCTTGATGGGTGATGCTGAGATACTAGTTCCCCATCAAGTCCGCCTTACTTGTGATGGACATTGGGTGGTCAATTTCACAGCCTCAAGCAGGCTGACAGTCCTGACACATACTAGTGTTGATATGATGTAACATTTGGGGGCAGAGCCTTAGGGGTAATGGTAGAATGTTAGCTCCCCCATCAGGTCCCTGAAGAGTTGGGACTGACTTCAGATGACAAATCCTCAGCATTAAAAAGGAGAACTATGAGGTGAGTGAAAATCACTCAGCCTCATAGTTCGAGCCGACGTGTGACAATGAAACTGTCACACATCGGCTCAATAGATTGGGAAGTGAGCGAACACATACTGTCGCTCGCTCACTTCTCGATCATGTCCCTGCAGAGAGCCGTGACTGTCACTCACGGCTAACTGCAGAGATTCCCCCCTTCCCCTGTCCGATCCTCCAGCGCTGACGGGCGTAACGGACGGGGGAGGGGGCAGGTACAGCTGGCTCTGCCTCTGGATAGGCAGAGGCAGCTGTCAATCACGCAGCTGGGTGGATCTGGACAGTAATGTTGGGATCCGTCCCGGCTGCAGCGATCTCAGTATATCACGATACTGAGCTTTGGGTCTCGGGAGGATGCTGGTTTGTGTCCTCCCCGTGACCCTGGGGAGAACTATGGGGAAAAACACTGACCCCCATAGTTCTCCTTTAATGCGCGGTTCAGTGCTGCAGGCAGCAGGAGAGGTATTTACTTTTTTCTTTACAGGAAACGTTTCTATTGCCACTTTCATTTTTGCAACAGAGTTGCTAAAACATAAGTTTAATATATTATTATCTATTTTAACTACTGTGTGCATGTAATATTATGACAAAGATATATATACACATACAGTAAATATGCATGCATGCACATTTGCAGTCAATAAATATCTACTTGTGATCATATAACATGAGTTGTATGTTGAGTTGTCTCTACTAGAACACCCGTTCCCTCCTCTCGCTCTAGGGCACACATGGTAGGATCTCAGTACACGTGAGTAAAAAGTTGTACTTACTTATCAACTGTCACTGTATGGCTATTAGAACTCCCTAGAAACACATGTTAAGAGCAGTGACTCCACACTGACCCATGGACTGCCATCCTTGTTCAGTCGGCGCGCCGTCACCCGCTCAGCTGAAGCCAGCGAGGCAAAACTCTTCCGCCCTCACTGTAGTCGGCATTCTGATTGGTCAAGCCGTATCTCCCACAATCCTATCCGCCAGTACAGACAGCTTCCGCCTTGTCAGGCTTGTCTCCAGGACCTTGCCGCTTCGTGGTGGTGACGTCATTCTGCGCCAACGCGCAGATGGAGAAATCATTCTTGGACGGCCATGAAAACAGGAGGAGCGCTGGTGTCCAGGCTGAACCGAGGAGCGGGGAGGCCTGCAATGTAACAGTGAGTAAGAGGCCTTTCCTGCTGTGTACGGGGTAAATGCATGGAAGCCTGTGACAGGACAGACATGGTGCAGGGACCTGTCACCCCCTCCTCCTCTGCGAGCCTCTCTGTAGCCCTCTGCTACACAGAGAGGGAAAGCTGCAAGGTCAGGAAAGGATTGCTGTACCATTTATTGGCCACTGATGTTTTCCTTTACCCTGTGCATGGCACTCCTCACGGATGTATATCCCTCTTACTTGTATTATGCATATGGGGTGCTATGGATTTTGTCAGCTAGCTTGACACATGCATTCTGACCATTGCCATGGAATGTCAATGCAGAGGGGGTAAAGCCTAGGCAAATATGCTTGATCCGGCCATCCGGTTAATGCTGGTACATTTCCAACCACGGCGTTCGATTGCCCCAATGCCTTTTCTTTTGTTCTATTTTTAGCATGCAGTTGCAAACTTGTACCGTGCATTTGCCCTGAGTAAGCAGATGAGATGTCTGATGGAAGCGAGAGTGATTGCTGTGGGATGTTGCATTGTGCAAGTATGCCCCCTGTTTCTGTTAAAAGTAGACGTCAAACCAACCAATAAAATCTAATAAGCTTTAACATAGAACCGCCAACTTTTATTTTTTTTAAATATTTGGGTCCCCCTCCTGCATAGAAGAAAAAGGTGCCACAGCTTTACTTACCCTCTCCACGTTCTAGCTCCTCGGTCCAGAGATGGCAGATCCACAGTCACATCATTCTGTCAATTTCTTGTGAGCCCGGTCTGTTGCTGATGCACCCCTGAGGGTGCGTCATAACGCAGGTTGGGCTCACGGTATACCAGGAATGAGCGACACTCATTGCATGTGCAGGGGGAAGGCCCGCCGCTGCTGAAGAAGAGGAACATCTTGTGATGTCACTGGACCAGCTAGAAGACTGCAGAATACCTTAGTATGTATGGATGATTTTTTTTTTTTTTTATATAAAAAAGAGGGGAGGGCTGTGGGGGACAGGTGAGTGGGGTTGTTTTGTTTTTTCTTACAGTTGGAGTTCCACTTTAAATGTGTTTAATGTAAATTTCAAAAGTAGTATTCGATCCTTTCAAATTAACAGATTTCATTAAAGCAATACCTGCCATGAAGAGTCTTGTTCAGGTGCATGCTGTTGCAAGGTGACAACAATGTTTCTGTTCCTCAGTCGCTTACTTGAGTTGTCTCCCTATTACATGTGCTTCCTATGGAGGCTATAATTGGCCATTCCATCACTCATCACACAGTCCTATTCTGTCGTTTTGACCATCGGGAAGTCACCCCTGAGCAATGACATGCAGTCATCATCACCGGAGCAAGTGCTAGTATACAGGAAGAGGCTGCAGGAAAACCAGCAGTGCTGAGATGCAACTAATGATTATAAAATAAGCTGAAAATAGCATTTTCCACAATAAAGCAAACTAAATGTGATCGTGTCATGGTTCACATCTACCGTAAACCATAAACAGTACAATAGATCAAATCTAAAAGATTTAGTTGGATGTCATGCTTACATAGTCGTTAACAATGTTACCTCATTTATGTGGTTTTCTAGCATATCAGCTGACACTAAGATAAGCCTGGTTAAGACTTCCTTAAATCTCATGGTTAAATAGCCATTAGCAACCCTAAACTCGCTATTATCCGGCATCCAGAGGGATTTGTAGATTCCGGATAAATGTAGTTTCTGGTTACTAGTAAAAATGGCTCTAACTAATGTCATACCCCATACTATACCATATCATAAGCTCTGCATTTACGTCATATTAATATTGAAATGCAGTAATCAGATGCAAATTAAGACAAATAGGCACACAATCGTTTCCAGGATAAAACATGCCACAGATAAGCAGAAATGTGTGCACACAGGGTTTTGTTGTTTTTTGGCGGTTAGATGAGAGTTCTGGTTGAATATCGGATAACAGAGTTTACTGTAATTTATTACTATGGCATTAAGCTTTCCAGCACCAAGGACAGCACTGGAAATGGAAAGATAAACTCTCTGCAAGACTTAGTTGGGTGTCATGGTTATTTGTCATTGGCACCACTATATAACTTATTAGTATGGTCTTTGACCTTTCAGCACCAAAAAGGAAAGATAAACACTTAGTTGGCTGTCATGGTTATTATTCTTTGGGAACACTATATATGTTATGCTATTTGGCCTTTCAGCACCATAGACAGCACAGGAACATGAAAGATAAATGCTAGGCAAGGCAGGGCTATTCACAAAAGGGTGAAGAGTTTGGAGAAGGCAGGAGAAGTGAACAATCTAGGCCAACATAGCTGATTTTGAGAAATTCTCCAGTTAAGCTCACTTTCCAGTTCAGCTATATTATCCTACATTGTTCACTTCTGCTTTCTCCAAACTCTTCACCCTTTTGTGAAGAACCCTGTTAGTTTGGTTTCATGGTTAATAGTCTTTAGCAATGCTTTCAAATGTATTATTGTGTTTGGTCTTCCAGCACCATGGGCAACATAGTAAAATGGAAAGGTGAACTCAATGGAAGCTGATTTTAGAGTGTCAAGATTTAACTGCTGTCTCATTTAGTAGCGTTATTTCATTTTCCAGCACTATGGACAGCACAGTGTTTGTAATATAATAAATATTGATATGTATTTATGTATTGGGAAAAGGATGTGCAGAATGCAACCTTCAAGCAATATCCAGGCAACCTTGGTTCTTTTCTATATAGCATGTGTTTGATACCATAAACGCTTGACAATTCCAACACAGTGTATACAAAATAATATAATAGAAAAAGCCCAATGAGTCCCTGTCAAAATTCTAGGTTCTTCCTTTCATGCTTTAGGAAGGATACAGACACACCACAAGCCCAGCATATATGTTCAATCTTTATATGCACCTATGTGTCTTCCATGCATGTGCATGCCTCCATGTACTCTCTTCCTATGCCTCCTCATCCTTTTAGCCACTTTAATTTTTTCCTTGATATCCCAATTTAAACTCGCTAATTTACTAAATTTGCAAGAAGATGATTGGTTGACCAGATAAACCCTTCTCCTTGATCTTTCTATAACGGACACCAGCTATCCTATGATAGCTGCACAGACAGGTCCTTCCTTTAAAATGCCTAGGACCCTTATTTGCCATAGCATTTAATTCCAGTTTGGATCACGGTTAGCAATTTTTAAATGTCTGGTGCCATTCATTCTGTCGGTCCTAATAACATATAACTTGGGTGTAGTAACCCCACAGTTTAATTTACCTTTTGAATAGCATTAGAAAAGGAGGAGTCTGTCATTCTATCAGTCCCAAGGAGTAAATGCACATCAAGCGGGTACTACCAAACATCAAATTAGTATTTTTCTGTATATGTACATCATATAGATAGATATATCACCACATACAGTATATATACGCACTCGATCAGCCATAACATTATGAGCACCCCCTAATATTGAGTATCTTCCCCTTTTGCCACAAAAACAGCCCTGACCCATCGAGGCATGGACTCCACTAGACCTCTGAAGGTATGCTGTGGTATCTGGCACCAAGCCCTCAGTAGCAGATCCTTTAAGTCCTGTAAGTTGGGGCCTCCATGGATCAGACTTGTTTTTCCAGCACATCCCACAGATGCTCGAAATGGATTGAGATCTGGAGAATTTGGAGGCCAAGGTAACAACTCAAATTCATTGTTGTGTTCCTCAAACCATTCTTGAACCATTTTTGGAGTGGGCAGGATGCATTATCATGCTAAAAGAGGCCACTGCCATCGGGGAATACCGTTTCCATGAAGGAATATACTTGGGTCAGTAACAATGTTAAGATAGGTGATTTGTGTCGAAGTAACATTTACATGAATGGCAGAACCCAAAGTTTCTCCGTTGGGTGAATCCGTTGGCTTGCCTTCTTCCCATAGTGCCTCCTGGTGCCAGGTAATCAACACACTTCCACCCAGCTATCCACATTATGTAAAAGAAAATGTGACTCATCAGACCAAGCCACCTTCCATTGCTCTATGGTACGGTTCTGATGCTTATTTGCCCATTGTAGGTGGTTTTGGCAGGCCCTAAACAGCCTGCAGCTCCACAGCCTCATACACCACAAACTGCGATGTACCATGTGTTCAGACACTTTTCTATTGGAACCAGCATTAACTTTTTTAGCAATTTGTGCTTCATTAGCTCTTCTATTGGATCAGACTACGTGAGGCAGCCTTCACTCCCCACGTGCACCCACCCATGACCCTGTCGACGGTTCACTCTTTTTTTCTTCTTTGAACCACTTTTGGTAGGTCCTGACCACTGCAGACTGGGAACATCCCTTCAGAGCTGCAGTTTTGGAGTTGCTCTGACTCAGTTGTCAAGTCATCACAATTTGACCCTTGTGAAGTCCCTCAAATCCTTACGCTTGTCCATTTTTAAAATTTATTTTTTCTGCTGCTAACACATCGATTTCAGGGCAAAATATTTACTTGCTGCCTAATATATCCCTCCCACTTCCAGGTGCCATTGTAATGAGATAATCAATGTTATTCACTTCACCTCTCGGTCATAATGTTATGGCTGATTGAATTGGTGTATATGTGCGTAGAATTGCTACCTAGAGATGTATTGAGTGTATATACAGTGGCTTTCAAAAGTATTCACCCCCTTGGCATTTTTACTATGTTGCATTACCATCTGGAATTAAAATAGATTTTAATTAGGGGGTAAATAGGGGGTTTATATAATTTGATTTACCTAGTACAACCACTTTGAAGATACAAAACTTGAGCGTGCATAACTATTCACCCCCCCCCCACCCCC